CCCACCCCCCACACACATAACAGTCTTCACAGGGAAGCCTTGGGGGGTTTGACTACGTATTGTGGATTCATTGCAAATAGGTTTTGTGATTCCATTATGGGAGTTTACCGCTTTTCTGGAAACTAGGTAATAAAGAAGAATGTAAAAAATGGAAATTGCAACTAACTCAACCACAAAAACTAGCTCATGAGGTGAAGATTATTCAAGGACATATAAGGAGACAGCAACCCAATCTATCAACCAATGTGGACAAACATATTGACAGACAAGCACAAGATTTGACAAATAACTCAACATCCATCAAACACAAGAAGAAGAATACAAATAAATTAAAATACATGGGTTTCATCACAATCTTAGAATGAAAAATTTAGCCCGTGTATAGGAATATCTATGCACTTCTCAATTATAATGATGGAATTAAGAAGAACCAGAAGAAACTTGGTTGGAGACCTTTCTTGCCTTGAATTTCTGTTGCCTTTGCCCAGATTGTCAAAATTCCTTATAGATGGCATGGAGTAGCATAACTGTAAATATGAAAATGCGATTCAGCACTGAGGCTCTAGCCTCTACTGAATTTTCTAGCATGCTCCAGGGAACCTAGGCACTACACTCTCAGATCCTTTTGCATATTTCAGTTAACACCTTCGATGTTTGCTCGCAGTCTTCTGTCTTCTTCTTATCTTGCTCAATTTGTGACTCTCTTGGCCTTCCAGCTCCCCCCTCCCCCTTCTTGCGTGAACATCCTTCGAAACCTTGAAGGATATTGTCATAGTGCAGTCAAATCACCAAGAAACCACAATTAAAGTGTCAAATAAATGCTTAACTATGCATTATCATTTGTGACATGCAATACTATCACAGATAGACACATTTTTATCTCCAATTCCCGCAATTAGGCAAACATAGCGAAAACTATCATTAAAACAATAAGAATATGAGCATTATATCCTTCCATAGGCCCATCACCTAGTTTCAAAACAAAGGTTTAGAGATACCTTGGCTGTACCAGTATAGTTTGCACTTTGTTTGTATGGAAATCCAGCTCACAGTGCATTTATGTATTTCTTTCACCATTTATCAAGTGCAGGTTGCTCATGGATCTTTCGAAAGAACAAATAGAATGATGATTATCTTAACAATCTTCTCTAGAGTTTTGAAACTTCTCGTTAACTCTCTCAACCTTGGTATTGTCTATTAAATCTTACTGCGCCCTTAGAGCATGTTGAGTCCAATGTTTCTTCTTTTGCTGACGGTTCCAGGCTTCCAGTGTCATTTTCAGACATCCTAGTCCCCTAAGGCTCAATCATCTTTTTCTTTTAAAATGTTCCTGCTCATATCTGTTGTCCCTAGGTTGTCAAAACATCTTTCAGCCGACTTTAAAACTTGATAATGACATGTGTTGCAAATTCTAATGGAAAATCATGGAAAAAGAGAACATATGGAACAGTCAAGTTATTTTTAGGCTGCTCTTGGCAGTCTTCTTTAGAAAACAAGCATGATAATAGTATGTCGTGTAGCTTTATTCTCTTCAGTGGTCGTGCGTATTTACTTTATTGGTTCATAATGTGTTCATTTTTTATACTTCTGTGTAATGGACGAAATTTTATCTACTCTTTCTGGCAGTTTATGACATCAGAACACCAGTACATATCACGAAAGGATGAAGGAGATAGGATGATTGTATTTGAAAGAGGTGACCTTGTTTTCGTCTTTAATTTTCACTGGACAAATAGTTATTCGGACTATCGCATAGGCTGCCTGAAGCCTGGAAAATACAAGGTATGCTGAGTTGAAACTTGTCTTCTTCGATAGTATATTTACTCATTCTTTCCTTTCAAATGGAGGCCATCAGTTTTGTATAAGTAATGCAACCGATTTATTTGACAATTGTAATGCATAATCAAAAAAGTTTCTTTTCACTAATGTATCGTCATTGTTCCCCGTCGTGATCCCAATGGTTCATATTTCTTTCCTCTTCACTGGTAAACATATTTGACAGTAAACTGATGTGGGTGATCTGAGCGAAAGCTCTTTTAGACTTCAGTTCTTTTCAGTACTGTAGATGAATATGAAATGCAAAATCTGAATGCTGGTATTCTTTGACCATTAGTTTAGCTCTTCCCATACCTTTGCTTGCATTAGCCAATTTGTAAGATGATCAAGTGATTATTCAAGAATTGACACCTCAATGTATTCACTTTCAAGTGGTAGAACGATATGAGGTTTTGTTAGATAGTTGATTTTATAGATGCAAATGTGAGGATGTGTTAGATTCAATTCAAAAAAGGTACTTTATTGGAAACTAAGAATTTCTTGAAGAAACTCTCTAGTGGCGAACTCATGCTCTAATTTGGAGTTGGTCCATTTCCTGTATTTGATAAAGAGTAGGACATCCTGGTATCCCACAATTGAGGTATCTTTTGGAAATCCTTAAAATAGGTGATTTCTAAGAATTTAAAGATTCCGGAATGCTGTCTTAATTTCTTCTATCGCCTTCTTGATGCGGTCTATGAATTCAATTGATTTTCTTTTGACGCGATTTAACTCAAATGGTGCACTTCCAGGTTGTCTTGGACTCAGATGATCCACTTTTTGGTGGCTTTGGAAGAATAGATCACAATGCCGAATATTTCACCTTCGTAAGTTAAAATCTCCCTCCATTATTAATCTCAGCCTGTGTTATTTAATTTTCTTTCAGAATGAAATTTCTATAAAAAATTCAATTTTGTCTATGCAGGAAGGGTGGTATGATGACCGTCCTAGTTCCTTTATGGTGTATGCACCTAGCAGAACGGCAGTGGTCTATGCACTAGTAGACAAAGACCAAGAAGTAGCTGTTGAAGAATGAATGGACTTGTTGAAAGATGTGAACACCACCCACCCGGTTATCCAGATAAGCTTCTTGACAAGTCGGGCGCTATTGCATCAGTCCTGGCGGAGTTTCATGTGACAAAGGTTTGCAGTTCTTTCCCCTACTAGCAGAGCAATCTGCGCAGAGCTGAAGTGCTGAAGAAGCATGTAAAATCGAAACTTATGTCAAACTGCTGGACTGGCTTCAGCAGGTTTTGCTTAGGAGTTCATATTGCATTCTGTAAATTATCATCTAGCTGAGCCAGTGAGAGGTAGCAGTAAGATCTCTTTACATGTACAGCCAACTTGATATCAACTATATGACCTAATATACAATAAGTATAAAATGGAAACAGAGCTGATCTAATGATATTTCATTGGGCTCAAAATTGGTGGCTTAAAAGGTGTTATTTTCTTTTTTGAAGAATTAACCTAGTGTCTTCCACCCAACTGCTTAAAACTAAAAATAGCCGGCGACCGTAAAATATATGTATAATATGTGCATAACCTATGTATACCGGATAGAAAAAGTAAATAGTGAATCTGGTCGGCTCTTTGTTTAAAGATCCCTTTTTCCCCCTTCCAAGTTTTGCTATCAACTTGCTGGCTCCAATGTTATTGTCGGATGTTGAATTTGACAAAATGTTTGTCCCACATCGGTGGGAAAACAAAAGTTGGGGGGATTTTC